GTGTGTGTGTGTGTGTGTGTGTGTGTGTGTGTGTGTGTGTGTGTGTGTGCATGAGTTCGTGCGTTCGTGTGTGCGTGCGCGCGTATATATATATATATATATATACATATAATTATCATATCATATCATACCATACCAGCGACGCAGTATGTATGAATTTTATCGCATGTGGATGTGTCGATATTGATCTGTCATTATTTCCAAAACGTAATGCTTCATTATTGGATTAATAATACCGTATCGGGTTTATAACATACCGATTATGCGTTATTTCTAGCACTAACACCGCTGGTCAATTTTAGACGCCACTATCCGTATTTTTCTACCGCTACTCACCAGTCTCTGACGAAGTATTAAGGGTAGTTTTAGAAAGCGAACACTCGAACGCTAAGCTATAGTGTTCCAATTTTTACATAGTTGCCTTTTAACGCATATATATATATATATATATATATATATATACGTATATATATATATACATGCTGTAATCACTAGTTGTGTGTTCGCACTCATTAAACATCTGCACAAAACGCAGTCGAATCCACAGAGTACGGTACCGAAAATGAAATTTCTTAGCCCTATTGTCTTACGAGCGCCCGCAACGGCCACTAAGTGAGCTTAAAAGTCCAGCTTTTATACACTAGTACCTCGTGTGGAGCCACCGATGCACAAATGATGGTGATGATGATGACGATCGTTCTTAGGCACATGAAAATTCCACGCGCGCACACGCAGACGACGCGCATGCACACGCACGCACACACGCACGCATACTCCCACTCGCGCGCGCAGAGACACACGCCTAGACACCAATCCATCCGAACGCACACGTAAATGAACGGGAACATTACGTACACACATACACGCACACGCACGCACGTATTCGTTCGCGCGCGCGCAGAGACACACGCCTAGACACCAATCCATCCGAACGCGCACGCAAATGAACGGGGACACGAGTACGCATACACGCGCACGCACGCACGCACGCACGCACGCACGCACGCGCACAAACAGACGAGTACACATCGTCCTGCCGGCGCGCACTTATTTCCACACATAGTTACGGACATGAAGAGACGCCGCGGTCCGAGAAGCGCGTTGCGACATCGGCGAGTGACGAGTCCGCGGCCGACCGCGCGCAATTTATACCCCGACTAACTCCTAATTGACATTATCACCGATTCACGCTCGATGTTTAGCTCCGGGGTACATTAAACTGCAAATCGAATGAAAAATGAATTACGATCAGTCTAGTGAGTCGACACGGGTTACCCATCGCACCGTTTCACATCCGTAGCCAGGAGCGATGATTTTACATTTCGTCGCAGATATATACCGGCTGCGCCTTTGACAGCAACAACGCGGTGGTGCTGAAAATGCTCTAGGTTATATATATATATATATATATATATATATATACATATATACCTGTCGTCGAGCCGCGGGGCAGGCTAGCGCTATGTGTGCGTTCGCACACCTGATGCTTCCATCAATATTGTACGCATTTGCAAAGTTAAATCAAATTCGATCGCTGTAGTCGCAATGTAGTCGGCATCTGCGTTTATTGAAACATCTGATTTTTTAAGTATATAGCTTCGGAACCTAGTGGCAGGTTAGAAACCAGAGTAACGGATTGCCTGCGGCATGAGGCAGCAGCTGTGTAGGCGTGCATCGAATGTTCTTTATTTAGTTTCAATAAATATAACCGTCGTATTGTAAGGTAAGTTAATACGCGCCGTAGAATCGCTAACCGCTTCGTATTTTACAATCATATTGTGTTCGTCGAGGCGATTACCGGCGGCATTTTTTTTTAGCGAGAGCGGTACTTTTGGGAGTTTTGAGAAAGAACGACCAAACGTTGCTGTAGTGTAGACATGTAAAGATATAAGATATGAAGTATGGCGAAATTGCAGTGGCGGAAATATCGAGATAGGAACGCAAAAACAAGCGAAAATAAATCCACGCGAAGCAATCAGAGCAAGTACGCCGCGTCGGTGCAGCCGGGGCAGTCACAACGGCCTCGGGTTTCTTAACCACGACAACGCCGCAACTTTCAAACGTAAATCTCAATCAGACCGTGCAGCTGAAACCATTCGTAGCAGGTGGAGCAGCATAATCTAACAGATGGGACCGGGGCGCGCCACCCGCGGCCACACGTCCCGTCGCTAATCAGCGAAACCCATTCGAGTGACATGATCCCAAATGCGTGCATCGGCGAGTGAGAATTGTCCAGGGGAGTGTGATAAATCTCATAATGGCAGCGCGCGCCCCCCGCGGCTGCGCGCACCATTTCGACTCGACTTGTTTTGAATTCTCATTCTCAAGTTGAATAACGTGGCGAAACGCGTGGCCATTTGCCGCCGTGGAGAGCCATTGATGCGGCGGACGCCCCGGAGCGAGAAACGCGTGTGCAGCGCCCGTTACTAGGCAGAAGTCAGTGGCTTCGCACATCCGTGAATGCGCTCCGGCGGAGGGGCGGGGCCTCTCCTCCCGCGCCGCGCAGTCTGCTTCGCCGCCGTTTGCGCGTTCATAAATTTGGCGTGTCGTTTTATTCGTTAACCGGCGCCGCAATTGCGCAACTAGGCGTGTTTTTACGGAGGTGAGCGTTTCACCGGGTGAAAGTGTAGCTGTCGCGTGGATGGCAATGGTGCGGGCTGCAATGCACGCATGAGAGACGGTACATAACGGTGCGTCTATGCGCGAGAGTAAGCCTTTCCCGTCACCCTGCACCGGGACCCATAATAAAACACACGAGAATGCTAGAGTCACGCCGTCAACGCTCTTTACTACAACGTTTCACTACGCACTAGTACCTAGTATCGCATCTCCTCTAGATTGTTAGAGAAGCAATACTATTTGCGGGGACGTAAAAGTGACAGCAGTAAACCAATCATTACGATGATCTAGTAGTTAGTAGTAGTTTAGTTATATGAAGTATAGCAAGCGACGTGCGCGTTAGTATAAAATCATCTGCTTTCGCGCTTTCTTTCTTTCTCTCTCTCTCTCTCTCTCTCTCTCTCTCTC